TTAGTTTGTAGAATTTTTGTAATATTTTTGCGAAGTTTGAAATGTCTATTTTTTCGTGGCACAATAAATAATCAAAGGAAAAATATCCAAAACTAGTCGAAATATCACTCGACTTAATCAGCTTACCACAAGTGTATGTATGTACATTAGGAATGTTAATCCCGGGATCCCGGCCGTTTTAAGGTCCCAAAAATCCCGTGATTCTTCGCAAACAATCCCGGGATTTTCGGGATTTGTAATTTGCACTAATGGCAATAATAGAAACTCCTTTTCTTGACCAGTATTGGCTATATTTATTTGTTTATTTAATAATTAATATTTTTTCATAAATGTCTAGCTCATTATACATATAAATAACACCGCGCGATAGTAAATTTTAAACTCAAATATCAATATATTCGCGAAACGATGGGCCAAATAAAGTAAAATTGAGTTTTTAGTTTTTCACTCTGACGTCAGTAATTCAAAAATGATTTAAAAAATTCAGAAATATGTCCTTAGAGAAGAAGAAAATTAAGGAGGAAATCCTGTAGAATTTAAACAGATTCAAGTTTTTGGTGCAGAAGGACTGGTAAGTATTTAAAATGTCCTTTTAAAATTTTATCTTTGAAATTTCGTAATATTTGTTTTTGAAAAAATTATAGATATGTTAAGGACTTATATATACTCGATAACATCCTCGGAACTTCCTCTTTAATTTGGTACCCCTATTTTTATTCTACATTGCATTGAATTTTTTAAATAACTTTTGAAATCAATCATATCTTTGAAATTACAACGTCCTTTAAAATAAACCCTGAAGTCATAGAGAAAAAATAAAAACGCCTCTTTAAATAAAAAAGTAAGTTTTAAACGCATTTATTTATTATTTATTTCATGGTGGGAGAGCTTCTCAAACAATATAGTAGCAATTTTTTCGACTCAAGTTGTTGAAAAGTATCTAATGAATATCTAAATCCCGGGACTAATCGCGGGATCCCGGGGTTGTGATAACGACGTCCCGAAAATCACGGGATCGGAAAAAGGTGAAAAAACTAACATCCCTAATGTACATACATGTGTACATATGTAGACATTAACATAAGCGCATGCGGATGTACTCTTATAAAGGCATACAAATTGCCGACATTTGCTTCATTATTCAGCTCCAATGACGTTCGCACGTTTACGAGTATTTACCTGCTTTCATATTCACCAATGAACTTAAACAATTTGCTTGTTTATTTTTGGTAATTTTTTATGTATGTTATTACATATTGTTAATAAATACATACTATGCATGTACATATCGTCGATGTTTTTTTGCAAAACCGCCCATCTTACCGCACTCAAATTTTACAGGAGAGCGAAAAAACGGTTTATTCTTTGAATGCATTGCTTTCTTAGGCGGTATTTTCCCTAACTATTATTTTACAAAACTGTTGTTTTAATAACGATTTTAAGATTTTTATGCATAAATCTCGATGCCTGGAGTTCAGGGGTTACCAAATCTCATTTTTGCCACAACGGCGATTTAGGCGGTTTTGCAACTGGTCGATGGGCGGTTTTGCAAAAACCTCGACGATATGTATAAGTTTGGCAAGCGTGCCGTATACTTTGTGATCTCATGCATATGTGTTTAGATTTTGTAATAAAAATTTGATGTGCTGTACGATAATTGCATGAGGACTTTGTATTAAGCACTGATAGTATACCTACATATGTATGTACATATATGTACAAGGACATAGCCAGGATTGTATGCAATTTTTTATTCAAACACTTTTAACACGGGCCTCAGATTTTCGGTAGACTATTCAATTATTTTCTTTTCAATCATCTCGCGATTTTCGTAAGTCCTGAAAGACTCCTTATTGGCTGCTGGGTATGCAGTTATAGTTGCATCACTATACTCAATCCCGACGGTTGCGTCTCTGTTCGCGCTCTCGGGGCAATGTGAGAAACCCATATGCGAGATGTGGTAACCAACTTGTGTGAAGCCTTGGTTCACGACAGAAAGAGAGGAGGCTTCCGGTGGGGTCACTCCGACTTATTAAGGTTTAAGGGCTCACTAAAGTTAGCAGCATACAAGTGTTTGAGGAGTGTATGCAAGAGTGTTGCATTCAACGATTTACTCTAAAAATATTATTCCTGGGCTTTTGTTTTTTTTAGGTGATAACTCGAAAAAGCAAGAGCGAATTTTGAGCGCTCTACGTACTCGGATACGTACTGCATATATTTGAACGTAAATATTAGTAAACGATCTATTTATATAGTATATATATATACATACATATATGTATGACGAATGCTAATATCACACATTTGAACGTCAAATCCTATCATTAGTAATATATTTTCTTAGAAAAATTAACACATTAAAGCAACATATGTAACTAAACGAGAATAAATTTTGCAAATAAATCTATTTATTATGATATACATACATAAATAGTCATGTAGTAGGTGAACTAGACAAAATCTGGAGGGTGGCAACGTCATTATCGACGCAATCTATGAGGGCGTGATATAAGTGTGACGCAAATCTTTGGCAGAAATTTTTTGTGATATGTTAAAAAATTTTTTTTTAATTTTTTTTGGAAATTGATACTTTAACAAACTTTTTCGGCACCGAGCCAACGTCTGGAAAAGTTTTGAGCATACTGATAAAATTAATTATTTCTCCATACATATGTAATTATTTTCTAAAATTAATAAAAACAAAACCTGGTGGCAATTTTACTTACAAAACAATCATTTAAAAATAAAACCTCTCTTGATTTTAGTGCGACTTGTAGACATTTGCAGGCATTGTAGGCATTTTCTTCCATATAAAGACTTTGTTCATGCGTTATATGGAAGAAAATGCGCAACACCCTCGACAAAAAAGTTCTCAAAAATCAGCGGTAATTTTTTAGCGTCTTGAAACTTGCACTTTATTATGCTAATGGGCTAATCGAATTGAAAAGTTAAAAATTTTATGAAAACTTTTTGTTTTTTTTTTTGTATTTTTCCGATTTGTGTATGAAATTAAAAAAAAAAAAACAATTCTTGTGGTTTTTGCAGTTGAATGAAACATATTTTTTTATAAAAAAAATAAGAAAAATTTGGTACGAAAAGTATAAGTAAATAAAACCTTCAAACCCCAGGGTATTCATATTTTTGGCGCTGACTGTATATGATAGATATGTATGCTTTACGAAATACATATACTCGAATAGTATTGGTTTTATATATTATTAAAATAAGATCTGTGGTAGAGCTTTTGAGAGTTGATGCCTGTAGAATTTTTTTTTTTTCTTAAATTAAGAATCTGGTCTTTAAATTATTCATTTGGCTTTAGTTTTCGAGATATTTCGGACTAGAAGTGTAAAAATATATATATATTTTTCCCATTGTTTGAGCTTTTGTAATAGAATAACAATGCAAAGTGGAAGCTTTTTAACGGCATAAAAAGAAGGCTTAGACATCGCCATTTATTCCAAAAGATAAAATGAGGTGCCTGCGCATTAGTAATTTTTTTAATCAAATATTTGGCGGATGCACCCTGCTATATCCTTACCAATTCGAACAACGTAAACATAAAATACGTGCCCAGATATGATAAAAGTCGGAATTTATTCATCTTCGAATGAGCATATTGCAATTCACAACTTTTCAAAATATTTTATGGTTAAATTGAGCTCCTAAAAGAGAATTAATACAAAATTTAATTAAATTGATGAAAATTAATAAATTTTATTTTTTTGAAAATATTTTTAAAGCCCTATGTTTTAGAAATTTTACTTCTTACTTGGAGCTAAAAGGGCCGTATTCTTTCTCTTCAAAAGATTATATTCCACGTCTATATCTCTCTGCAGAAACTCAAAAAATGCCAACAATTACTCAACTTCTCAAACACTTGTGCTGCTCTGGCTTGTTCCATAGTCTGGTGAAGGTAGTGTAGATGGGGCACTGTTGGACTTAATTGACGTCATCTGGGATAGCAAGTATTTTGGCCGGATATTAGGATGAATATTTCGAAGTAGTTCAGTTAGAGAAATGCTCCCCATGCTCACAGGAACTCAGAGGTGGTAATCAAAATGTACAAATGCATATAAAAATTTCTGGGTACCCTAGAAGCATTTCTGCATCAAACAGAAAATTTTGAAAACAATTTCGTTTACGTTTTTTTGGCGATTAGGACTCCATATGTTTATGCTGCTCACCTATGCTCACCTAACCTAACCTATTTCGTGCGGCAGCTGGCTCTCCTTTTCATCTTTACTCTAATAAATGAGATTTCATGACATTTCACTAGTCCACTACGTGCAAGTGGAATTAAGTTGTTTTTACAAAAGTCTTTCGATATATTTTTTTTTTTTTGCATTTGTGCATTAGGTACAAAACGATGTCTCCTCATAGCAAACGCTTCGTCGGACAGAGAACGCCCATACAGTTGTTTGTTAGGTTACGTTTCACTGCCCCAAATTTTTTTTCTCTACCAACATTTCTTCTCTGGTCTTTATTTTTTATTTTTATTTTTTGTATTTGTTACCGGCTCATTTTTACTTTGAAATCGCACAGTTTTTGTTTATATTCGACATGGGGCGATCTCAATCTCTGCCTAGCAATTGATTTTGTTTTTGCTGCTGTCGTTTTTTTTTTGTTGGCTGGGGCTGTTGCTGTAAATGTTGCCGGTACCACAACGCGCCAGTGCTCATTGATCGGTGATCATTATTCGCCGCACAATTTTCAATTTTATTTAAAAATCTGCTGCGAAACGGCTCGCATTCGAAACATTTTGCGCGTACTTTCAGTGATTGTTTTAACTACTACAGCTCGGAAATTGAGTTGATTCATTTCGGTGATTTATTTCGTCGTTCGCTCTTACGTTTACATATATTGAAAATTATGAGATTTTTTTCGGTCGCCCATATTAGCTATTTAGCAACTTAGCGCGCCCGAGTGTTGAGACAGTTTTATATGAATTTCGTGACCACTGGCACACATTTCGCCGTGCGTTTTTTCTGCCTACATGCATACATATATAGATGGATACATACATATGTACATACGAACGAGTAGTGTAATTTTCTTAGACCTGCTCGGACGTCAGTGTTAAAATTTCACATCAGTCGTCGAAATCATTTAGATTGCGAAAATGTGTGCATTCGCGTCAAAACAGTTCAGCAGCTGAAATGCGTAAATATAATATAAAAAAATTATATATAACATACCTGCGCAGACTGCAGTGTAATCTATTGCAAAATCAATAATATAGATTTATTGATAAAAACAAAAATATACTACATATTAGTGCATCAACAAATAATTAAAAAAAAAAAACCAAATTTTTTAAAAGCTATTTTAATATAAGTATGTATGTTTACATGGTACACAAAATATAATTGATAAGGATTTAGTGCTCTTCAACAAAAAAAAAGGTGTTATATTTGAAACATACAAAATTTAAGTGATTAATTGAAATTATAAATGTTGATTATCAGGCTTAATTCAACGCCCGTTTAAAAAAAAATATAACAAAAAAAAAGCTCTAAAAGCATCTCCTCAAAAATAAGCAAATAACTTCAAATACATATATCACTAGTGTGTTCATTTCTAATTCGAATGAGCGCAATGAGTGGCCTACGCCAGCAATTAAAGGTAAGCTTATTTGATTTTATATTTAGCTTCCAAGTGGCGATTGTTGCCCTATTTATATGTATCTGCTAATTTTCTACTCAGGAAAAACTGTATGTACGTTTGTATGTGTGTAATCGTGATCGTTGTTCACGTTTTTTTTTTTTTTTTTAATTTTACATCAGATACCCTTTAGACAAAATTACTGGCATTGACTTCATAAGTAACTAGTAAAAACGATAAATGTTTATAGTAAAAAAATAGCTTTATATGTTTTCAATTTATAATTAAAAACAAAAAAAAATAAACCCCACCCAACTTCTTACAGCTTTGGCCAAAGGTATTAGGCTCCCCAATATATGATGTTTTTTTTTAATTTTTGGCTTGTTTATTTAATATTTAAATATTTTTTTTTTTTAAAGCCTAGCTCGGTATTTAACAAAAAACATATCAATCCAAATACCTAACTTTTTGCAAAAAAAGGCAAAAATTCTGCAAACTTTTACCAAAATTTCCGACTTTTTATTCAGAATCTTTATAAATTTTGATATGCAGTTTTTAGTCCATTAAATTTTAGTACAATAAAGTGTAAGTTTCATAATGCTAAAAAATCGCGTTGATTTTTGATGATAAACAAAATAAAAATTTTAAAAATTATGGGCAGGGATGTATTTTATTTCATTCCCCTCTTGGTTCAGTTGCGGATTCTTTTTAAAATGCTCTGAAAATGCCATTCGGTTAGTGTGGTCACCTCTCTTATTAGCCAAAAAATATCTTGCATTTCACAATCCTTGTAGGGTCAGAATGACTTGTCTAGCATAAGCGCTCTCTTGGTGATGTGGACATTGTTTTCTGGTTGAGATATGAGGCTTGTTAAATACAAAATCTTATCATCAGATCAGGTATCAGGTATCAACCCCAGATCCCACGGAGAGGCAGTACACACCACTAACCACTCACTCAGCCACAGCGGCCATCCTCCTTTATCAAAGCTTATTTAGGTATTTCATAAAGGATTATTAAGATAATATACATTGTGATAATAATTGTTATGAATTAGTGTTGGCCCTTAGCTAACATCAAAGTAAATGTGATAGTGTATTTTACTTTAATTATACTTATACTAGGAAATAAATCAATTATTCATCATCAAAATGGAACTCGATGTAAATTTGGGTGATTCAAAGTGAGGTCATGTTAGCTCAAGGTGGCTGCTGCAGACCATTATGATACCACTCCGTCTGGGTTCTAAGCTAGGCTGCGACATTGGCTTAGTAGAAAGAAGTTTGTGGCACTATTTAGGTTAGGTGAGGTTGAAGTGACTGCTGGTATTCCTACCAGCACGCGCAGGAATACATGTTGGGTACTTTGATATACTGCAGGTGTTTCTAAACCCCTACTTCTCTTTGAAGCAGTTCGTGGAGTCAACAAATCTCTACAGGTTAGATCGTTTAAAAATTCTATACCCAAAAGTTTTTGTCGTCTTCTACATAACTCGGGATATTCACACAAAGTCCAGGTGTTGAGATTATTGCTGCTCGTCAGACTTCTCTCTATCTAGACTTCAGAGAGAATCGAACCCGCAACATTAGATGTACTGAGCCAGAAAGCTAATGACACTAAAACGCTGTTTGTTCGCCTTTTCTGCCTTGCCATCGGTTTTGGTTCTCCGATGATAACATGGGCAGAGTTCACCACCCTTATTTATATATCGGACCATTTCGTCAGCTATGTATCTACATAGTTGCCAATAATGTTACTGGTGGCTAAATTAAGGGCCGGTAACTCAATGTCTGGTTAACACTAATCGCCGGTTAAACATAGTTATCGACGTTACCGACTCCCTGTTGTATGCATGGAGTCGAAGACGTCGATAACGATGTTCAACCGCAGATTAGTGTTAACAAGACATTGAGTAACCGGCCCTAAGTCTTCTAGACGTGTTACGTTGCCGTCTGTTCGTTCAGAAGTCTTCTGCAATCGCAAGCTCCCTGGCGGGTTATATTACATTTTCGGGGATTCAATATATTGGCTGGCTCTTTTTCTTGTTCAATACTTGCTGGGCAACCGTAGAGCCAATTATTGCATCACCTCCGGGGTGTGTGCTACCTTATGAAATGAATATACGGAAGAAAATTTGGTAAGTGGCTTTGACGGTTGCCTCGTGTGTAGTCAGCATAAGAAATCTTAAAATTGTTACCAATACACAATCAGCAAATCCAATCGTATTTCAACTTTTCAAACTTCCTAAAATGATCACCTAAGTATGTAAATTCTTAGAACATTTCTGATGAATCATCAGTTGTATTAAAACATATAAATAAAAAACTGTGTCTACGTACAAGGAATAAATTGATAAAAATCGATGACTCAAAAAATGCACCACGTTATCGACATCTTATACGAGTACGAGTACATCATCGATCGGGCCATTTAAATTCAAAACACACGCAGACGTGCGCACTTAACACGTTCATGGCCACATTGGTTGTTTGCCTTTCATGTTGGCATGGATATAAAAACATTGAATGTTCATTCGCACCTGAAGCGCTTACAATGAGAGCTTGTATGTACATTGTTCGAGTTTAATTGCAAATTAAGAAATTAACACATAAAATCAAATATTTTTGCAACGTGGCATTCAAGCGTGTACATACATAATACTAAAATTATTTGGCGATTATTTAGTAGCAGTTCGGGCTGCATTGTCCAAGTGTTAGTGTTGTTTCTTGTTCAAAAATGCTTCATTTAAATATTTCTACTCAAATACAACATACATATTTAACATGTTAAAGTATGTATCTCCGATATGCAATTGATTTCCATTGGTGAATTTCAATGAATTGCAAAAAGGAAAACGAAATAGAAAACATTCTCTACGTATCAGCTCAGCTGGCTACTTCAGCCACCTTAAAAATATATTTCTTTATTTATTTATGTAGTTATTTATAGCGCTTTTTGGCATATTGACCATTGCCAATTTGAATTGCCTCAGATGTTCTAATTTAGCGAAAAATTCCCTAAGACATTTACTAATTGGAATGCAAAAAAAAAAACAAAGCAGAATTTGTAATATGTTAATTACATTGAGATTTGGGACAACAAATACCAATTAGAAATTCCTGACTATTTGTTTATGTTTTCTAGTTTCCGCGATTTTTAACAACAACGAGATCGCTAGATTATGTTTTTTTTTAATTTAAAGACAGTTGTAGGCACTGAATCGCTTCCCAACTCTAGATATATGCATACATATGTACAAAACTAGCCATCGCGGTTTTTTTTATTGATTGGAAGTGGATTTCCCATATTTCGGCAAAAAACTTAACCCTTGACGATCGAGCGATCTAAATGGGTCACTTTTTAATTTGGTTTTATTAAATAAGTTTGAATGCTGTTTTTTAAATAGTTGTATTAAAGAAAAAATTTGCAATTTTGTTTTAAAGACGATTTATACAGTGGCTATTTTTGAAAACTATGGCCAAATTATATTATTTTCAATTCACGTTTTTGATAGTCTTGACATTTCCAAATACGGCAAGCATTTAAAAGGAAAAAAATTAAAGTTTATGTTTTTCTCACCAAAATTATCAAAAAAAAACTCGATGAAATGGGATGCGTATGTATACTACGTTTAACACGTTGCTCACAGACAACAAATTTGATCAGATGCTAGGTAGTTGTAGTTCGTTAAAAAAAATTAATTTGAAATTTTTTTTATCAAATACCAAGGACCACAAAATGGGTCAACTTACGTATAGTGCATCGGGCAGGACCTTTGCCATCTCATTGTACCCACGAGGCGTGAAGGATTATTTTCGATCTAATTAATGCCTGATTGAGACTAGGTCCTGCCTTCTCCCTTTAAAGAATAGTCGCACAATTTTTAAATTTTTAACTCCTATAAAGTTTTTCTGCAAAAAGACGATTTTTTATGGATAAGGATTGAAAATGTTGACTATTTTCAAAAATAATACTGGACACCAGCTTAATTAGGGACATCTACAGTGGACTTTAGATGCCGCATTCGCTGTTAAAACGCCACAAATGGAGGTTCTTGACCTCTGGTGGATTGAAACTAGCGAATTTTGGTGACATTTTGATGTAGTATTTCTCGTGGAAAATGTTTTGTTTGTGTAAATCCTATATTCCTTACTGGAAGCATCCCAACGCCTGGGCATTCACACAGGAAAAGCTGGACACTTTCTTAGCAATCTGCTAGCTGACAGCCGTGGCAAGTTCTATTATATGTAAATGCCATTATTGAAGCATATTTGCCTTTGAGGCTAATGTCCCGTGATGTGGGCTACAATTCTGAACACGTCTGTCCTTGATTTATTAAGCAGATCCAAGGTGTTCTTGCTAACAAGCTTCTGTGTTCGCCAATTCATTGCCTTCGATGTTCGCATGTCCGCAATCCATCCTGGAGCCATCGGTGTATAGAGTGATATGATATCCTATTTATTAGCCTTCTCTTATGGATGGATATCACACTTATGCGCTACAGCTGAAATCAAGATTGGCTGCTATATAGTCTGTCCTCCCTGATCAACCCATGACCGAAGTTTCTAGTCTACTTTTGTAGAAATACGATTTAAAGAGGAGATAAACTGTTAAACCCATATTCGTATTGTAAAAAACACCCTAGAAAAGTGGAATAGCTCGAAAATTTTGAAATTTTTGCCACAAAATTTTTTATGAGAAATACTTTTAAGCTTATACATAGGTTTCAGGTTTTGCACCTTTAAGAGAAGTGACTAAATATTTCGTTTTAAAATAATAGCATAACTCTAATGCTGTTTAATTCAAAATCTTTAATATAAATTACTCTAAAAAGAAAGCCTAAAACTATTTTCGAACGTTTACTAATCCTTTAAGAAAAATCAATAGCAACGTCCTAAAAATTCGCTACACTACCCTCGGACATAAGTAATTTAGTGCTATTTTTTGTGTATTTTTCCACATTTATCCAGTGTAAACAAATTATATAGATATCGTTGTTGTTATTGCTTACTTCTTAATAT